AGAGAAACATCGATCAGCTGCCTCCTGCACACTCCTCTACTGGGGATCGTGCCCGCAACCCAGGTACGTGCCCTTGACCCGAATCGAACCTGGAACCTTTCAGTCCGAAGGCCGTCGCTCTATCCACTGAGCCAAACTGGTTTCGGCTGGATTTTCTTTTTCTTATTCTACAGTTATTTTCCTGGACACTATTCATTTACAAAATATAGTGCAAATATTTTTCTCCTACCCTGTTACTTGCCTTTTGACAAATTTTGACTTTTTGTTGTCTTAAGTTGTAGCGAAGTCTTCTAAATTTTGTGAGTAAACTGGTCAGTTTTTTTCTGTTTGTAGGCTCTTTTTTCTTGTGTCTTGATTAAACCCACTGCCTTCCCAATTTAAAAAAGTTAAAATTATTTTTTCTGTGACTTTTTTAAAATTAAGTTTTACCTTCTCCCTGTAATTTTAGTTTTGTAACAGTGTGGTGTAGGAGGTCAGTCTAATTTTATTTCCAAATGGTTAGTCAGTCCTCTTTATATTTATTGAATGATACATTCTTCTCTCACACCTTTGTCATGAACTAAATTCCTATAGAGAGCACTTGAATTAGTTTCTGGATTCTAAAATATTCCATTCACATAGTTGTTTGTAGGATTCTAAAATATTCCATGCACATAGTTGTTTGTAGTTATACCAGTATATCACTATTTTCTTCACCACGATTTTATAGTACATTTTGAGGTCTGATAAAACCTATCCCCCACTCATTCTTTTTTTCTTCTGAACATTCTTAGTATTCTTGAGAATGACCTGTTCTCTATGGCCTTGAGAATCATCTGGTTAACTTCTACAGAAATTCTTTGGGATTTTGATTGGCATGACACGAATTAAGATTCATTTGTAGTGAATTAGCAAATTAAAAGTATTGAGTCATCTCAGCCAGAAGCATCAGCATGTCATGGTTTGTTTATGCTGCCTCTTCACCAAATATATATATTTTTGGTTTTCTTCACTTAGTAATGGGTATTCCTTGCTGGGTTTTTCTTTTCTCTGGGTATTTTAGTTTTGTGGTGACCGTGGATGGGACCCCCTTTTCCATTATGTGGCTTAAATGATTATTGCTGGGTAATTGGGGGAATATAGACTCTGTAAGTGCATCTTGTATCTGGTCAACTTGATGATCTCTAATTCTAATAGTTTTTTAGTTGATTTATTTTATATTTCTAGGTAGTCATGTTATCTGTATACAATGAGTTTTGGGTCTTTGTTTACAATATTTGAACTTCATTTACTTTTTACTTTACTTCATTGAGATGGGTAGGGTCTTTATTAGGACATGCATGGGAGTAGAGACGGCTGCCCCCTGTGGGTGGACTTTGATAACATCTGCTGATAGACTGGCAGGTGTATATTAATGGCGGGACTCTTCCATTCCCTTCCATTTCTACCTTATGAAGATTACTAATTTTATAAAATACTTTTTATGTATTAAAATAAGTTAATACTAAGAACTAAAAACACCAGCCCTTTGAAGAGCTATAATTCTGTTGTATTTTGCGGTAGATAATCAGAAATGCCCTAATTTTGTCAAACTAGAACCAATAGCACAAGAAGAAATCAAAAGAATTCTGAGAGCAACCAAAAGGGAGTGACAAGTCAAGAAACGAATATTTACCTCATACTAACTCTCTTAGAGACGTAGGTATTTTCATATTTATCATCTTGTTGGATCACTTCCTTGTGTTTCTGAATTCTTCCCACCGTCAGTTCTTATCTATATATATAAAAACCTAATATGCAAAGTGTCCCCCTCAGGAGTTTGACCGACCCGGAGTTCGATCGCTTGCTATGACGAGCACTGACCATTGGGGTGGTGCGGAACGAAGAAAGGCGCCAGCCAGTAGCTGGCAGCTGCTAGGGACCCTACCCGTGCCCAAATTTCATGCACTGGGCCTCTAGTTTTAATATATTATTCTATTTCACAGGAGTTACTTGAAAAACTAACATCATTTCGTGATGGATTAAATGAAATTAAAGATGAAATTAGCTGTTGCCTTGTCACTCTTATGTCCCATGGAGAAAAAGGCTCTCTTAAAATAAGAGATGATGAAAGAGTCAGCCTGGAAGAGATTTTTGAAATGTTTAATAATAAAAATTGTCCAGCACTTAAGGAGAAACCAAAGATCTTTATAATCCAGGCCTGCAGAGGAGGTAAGTGGAAACGTCTTTGTAATCATCGTGTTTGTAGGGAATTCTCATACTGATGACAGAGTAAAGAAGAATAGGTTTAAAAACATATATGAGTAAATAATATATTTTAAATTAGAGGATCCTTAGCTGTTGTAACTTCAGTCGTGCAGTTATACTAGCGACTGAGCTGGGAGGAAGGGATGGATGGAAAACTTACCTGGGATAGAATAGCTAACTTGGGCTGAGGAACAGTCCAAGTCACTGACTTCCTGAGGTAGGTCTGGGAGCCTCAAGTTCTGGGAGAGGTGTACAATTTCCAAGGGATGTCCTACCTTCCAGGTGATTCCAGGTGGTTTGTGGGACTAACATCCGACTTAGCTTATTTCTCTCTTCTTATGAGGATACAAGCCGTGGTGACATTTATTTTACTTAAAAAAATTTTAAAATATGTTTTTATTGATTTTTAGAGGGAGAAGGGAGAGAGAAATAGAAACATTGATGAGAGAGAAACATCAATGGGCTGCCTCTTGCATGCTCCCTACTGGGGATCGAGCCGGCAACCCTGGCATGTGCCCTGACCAGGAATCAAACCAGCAACCTTTTGGTGCATGGGTCGATGCTCAACGACTGAGCCATGCTGGCCGGGCACAGTGATGTTTATTAAGGGTCGCTGGTGTCAGTGATGTATCATTGTAGTTTGTCTCTTCGTTCCTCAAAAAACAGAGAGAAGAGATAGTGGTGTTGAAACAGATGATGAACCCATGGACTTGGATGACATATCAGAGAAGAAGAGGCTGCCCACATTCAGTGATTATTTCATCATCTATCCTACCCAGGCAGGTAAGACAGCAAAGCTCGATGACTTTGAGATGTCCGTTACCTCCTCCATCTCCCTTCAAAAATGGTTCCTGTTTTCAGAAATGGTAGGTTGGCATCTTACCGTTCATTTCTTCCAGGAAGACATCAACCTCTGAGTAAAGTACCACAAAGTAAAGAAGGTCATTGGCTGTCATGTGAAAACGATGTTGGCCCCAAAGCTAACTCTCACTGCTATCTTTTAGACCCTGCAATATTTTTTATGTCAGCTTCTTGTGTTTGTTTTTTTTAATCCTCACCTGAAGATATTTTTCCATTGATTATAGAGAGAGGGAAAGACAGAGAAATATCAGTGTGACAGAAACACATTGATTGGTTGCCTCCTGCACGAGCCCCGGCCAGGCCCAGGGCCAGGGCCAGGAAGGAATCTGCAACCGAGGTATGTGCCCTTGATCGGAATCGAACCCAGAACCCTTCAGTCCCCACGCTGATGCTCTATCCACTGAGCCAAGCTGGCTAGGGTATTTTTTTAAAAAATATATTTGTATTGATTTTGGAGAGGAAAGGAAAGGGATAGAGAGATAGAAACATCAATGATGAGAGAGAATCATTGATCAGTTGCCTCCTGCATGCCCCCACACTGGGGACGGAGCCTGCAACCCAGGCATGTGCCTTTGACTGGAATCGAACCCAGGATCCTTCAGTCCACAGGCCGACGCTCTATCCACTGAGCCAAACCATCTAGGACTAGGGTGAGTTTCTTCATGTAAAATGAGTGATAAAATTTACTTATGTCATTAGGATGTTATGTAAATTAAATTATGTAATGCAGGTGCTGTGCTTATCGTAATTGGCATAATAAATACCGAAAAAATAACTAATATTACTAATGTATTTTGCTAATAACATCATTATTATTACTAATACTGTTACTAATAAGTTAAAAGTTTTTAAAAATCTTATGTGAAGGGTGGACTTGACAGGGAAATGTCGAGAAGATAAGAAGTAAATGGTCAAGGACATTTATTTAGCTGTTTTTATCTTAACCTTCAAAAAGGTAGTATGTAAATATATATATATATACAGTTCAAGATAAAGTGTTAGTGAAGAAATGGAAGCTAAGGATGTAAGGGCAGTAATGTAAAATGAACATACTGAATGGTGAGACGTGAAAAATGTCCCCACTAAAGTTAGATGTAAGATTCCACTTCTTGGTTATTTACTCAAGAGAGATGAAAGCATAGGTCCACATAGTCATTTGTACACACAGGTTCACAGTGTACAAATAGGTATTTGAAATAGTCAAAAACTCTAAATAACCCAAATGACCATCAACAGGTGAATGGATAAGCAAATCATGGTATATCATACTTTGAATACTACTCGGCATTAAAAAGAATTGAGCTCCAGCCCAACCAGTGTGGCTCAATGGTTGAGCATCAGCCTATGAACCAGGAGGTCAGGGTTCGATTCCCAGTCAGGGCACATGCCTGGGTTTGGGGCTCAATCCCCAGTAGGTAGTTTGCAGGAGACAGCCCATCAATGATTCTCTCATCATTGATGATTCTCTCTCCCTCCCCCATCCTTACTAAAATCAATAAAAATATATTTTTTAAAAATGGAAGAGGGATAAAATGAAGCAAATGTCAAAATGATGAAAACCATTGAATCTGAGGGATGATTATATGGGGGATTGTGAAACTTTGCTTTCCACCTTTGTGTATATTTGAAAACCTTTACTAAAGAATGCCTTATTGAAAGGTTTTTGTGCTGTTCGTCACATGGACCAACTGTTATGGCCCCAGGCACACTTCTGCTAATACAAGAGTGTTTCTGTGCTCTCAGTTCAAAGCCATTTCCGAGGCTTCAACTATGAGCACAAGAACAGTTAGCGCCAGTGGAGGAGGAAAATGGACGAAATGTTTGTGTTTCAATTTGTAGATCATGTTGCTTTACGGCACCCCCGCACTGGTTCTGTGATGATCGAAGCAATGACTGAAATCTATCAACAGCATGGAAATAAGTGGCACATCGTTGACTTTTTCACCAAAGTAAGTAAATTCCAAGGGTCTTTGTGCTTCATACACTCCAAAGCTGATGCACTTGATGAGAAGGTTATAATGACAAGATTGACTTTGGCCATGTAATCAGTGTTAGTGTTGGCTGTTACTGTGCTCATTTGCAACCTTTTCTAATTAACTCTCTTTTCACATAAAAATGCCAGATTAAGAAGAAACTTCCCCTGGCTGGCATTGCTCACTTGCACAGGGGTGCTTTCCGCAGCCCCTCAGGTTAGGTCAGCTCTTTGGTGTCAGCATGTACACCAAAGGGTTGCAGGTTTGATCCCTGTTCCAGGTTGGGGCATGGGCGGGAGGCAACCAATCAATGTGTCTCACATCAATGTTTCTCTCTCTCTCTTTCTCTCTCCTCCTCCTCCTCCCTCTCTCCTTTTCATTCTCTCTTAAAAAATCAATGGAAAAAATATCCTGGGGTGAGGATTAACAAAATAAATTAATTAAAGTCAATGAAAGGAAAAAGAAGAGAGGAAAATGACTATTCAAAACCTGATGATAAATCACTGTAATTGGCCATTCTCCAAACTATGGTTCCTGTGTAAGCTCTTGCTGACTAGACCCTGGTGAAAAAAGTCCAGAACTGAGGATGAGGTGGCCTTTGCAGGTGACAGATGTGCTGACAGCCACCCCTGGAATTGTACAGCTGTTGGATACGTTGGACATAACGCACTCACACGCTTTCATCTCACCATGAGTGCCCAGGCTCAGAAAGGCTTCCTACCGGGCCTGAGGTGGCCCAGGGGCAAGTTGGAGAGGGAGCCGAGGTCTGTGGGCTCCTCGGTCCGATGCTCTTTCCGCCTCACAGGACCGAGCACGTGTTGGGACATCTCCCGTTAGTGATGTTGGCATTGCGCTCCCCAGGGGTCAGCATTCTGCCGCCTCCTCCCGTGGGGTTTGCAGGCTCCTGGACAGTTTGTGCTCTTCTCTTCCAGGTGAATAACAAGGTGGTGCACACGGAATTTTTTCTACGCGAGGAACCAATAAAAGTGTCGCTCGTCATGGAATCAACTCTAACTAGATTCGTGTACTTTTGACGTCGGGACGGTTTAAGAAATAAGGACTTTCTTTATCATAGACTTTGTAAAGAACTGTGAGGCTTTGTAGCATAGGACAAATGAGTGTCATTTTGTCTTACTTTTGTCACTAGTTGTATTTCTCTAATTTGTTTTGTATACGTATGCTGTTTTTCTAAGATTTAACTCCGCGTATTTGGAGTTTGTAAATAATTAGACTTTTTTTTTTACTGAATTTCTTACTTCCTGAACTGTTATGAAAATATGGAAGTCCAGCCCCCATGTGTGTACTGTTTTATCAATGTACTTCTCTTGCTGATCACCCCTATCTCTCCACTGTCAGTTTGGTGCTGGTGTTAAGCCACATCTTCTTGGCTTAGTATTCAGGAACTGTCTTCATATGGTCTTCCCCTGGCCCCCCTGTTTCCCCATATTGTTGTCTGACCTTGGGTATCTCTACTTGTCCTTTGTGTCCTTGATGCCTTCATGTTTTCACCCCCACCCATTCTCCAGCTTCCTCCTCGCTGCCTCAGTACCTTTGAACTGCTGGTTTCTGCCTGGAACACTCTGTTCCGCCCCATAGGCAAGTCCCTTCTGTCCTTCCAAGTTTAGTTCAAGCATCCTTGCAGGGGGATGCTCTCCGCAGCCCCTCACGCTAGGTCAGCTCTTTTTCAGTATTCAGAGACCCTCTGCTTTCCTTCTGTCGCATTGAACACTACTGTACTTACATGACTGTGTCATGGCTCTTAGTCTCTCTCTCCGTTCAGTTATAAGCTCCAAGAGGCAGAGGCCATGGGTCTTATTCGTAACTGTATTCCAGCTTCCCTCTGTGCCTTAAGACAGAGAGAAGCCCTGTGAGAAATGTTTAGCAAGTGACTGATGCCTGTCTTTTCATTATTTTATCCATTCCTCAGACCTCACCTTATTACCTCTATGCCTATCTAGCCACATGCTAGTCATCCCCACCTATGTGTCCCATGGCCACTTATATATATATAATCTCAAAGAGGAAGGGAGAGGGAGAGAGAAATAGAAACATCAATGATGAGAGAGAATCATTGATCGGCTGCCTCCTGCACATCCCCCACTCGGGGTTGAGCCCACAACCCAGCCAAGTGCCCTGACCTGGAATTGAACCTGACCTTCTGGTTCATAGGTTGATGCTCAACCATTGAGCCAGGCTCCATGGCCACTTTAATCAGTTGGAAGTTAAGCTGTTTCCCCTAAGTCTCCCCTAAATGCCCTTGATTGTTAATCCTTACACTCCTCACTGCCTACAGAATATGCTCCAGATTTTCTTAGGAGAATATCCCAAGTCCTCTGCCAGGCCCTACCGACACTACCGGAGTGCTCCGTTTGTCCTGGTCTTGGCTATTCTAGATGATCTGCTGTTCCCTCAGTCACCCCCTCACCAAATGGGCTTGGGTTTTAATGAATGCCGACTGAACACTCTCAGATACTTTATGTCATAGTTCACTCTCCTTTCCGCCTGAAACTCCCTGTGTTCTGTGTGCTTCCTCCAGAACACATTCTCCAGGGTGCCTCTTGGGTCCCAACCCACTAAAAGGAAAATCTGAATGCAGACCAGTGTCTTCATAGTAACAAGCTGTGGATTGAGCATGGACTTTCGTTGTAATGATGTTCTAATTTCCTATGTGACGTGGACTGTGTTGGGACCTCGGTTTCCCCATCTGTAGAAAAGGAGATGTGGCCCAGCTGACTCAGAACTCCTCCCACTGGACCTCAGGGAACTCTGACTTCTCAGGGAACTTGCTCGTGAACGTCCTGCAGAGGTGACTGTTCCTAAACCCAGAGGTTCGAGATGGCATTTACATCCGACGGTTGGGCCTGCAGGAGAAGGCAGGTGGTTGGTGAGGAAGCTGTGAAGATTGACGGGAGCAACCCAGGATTTCCAGGCCCATCTCCATTTCAGGGATAATTATGTCCTTTTTGGTTAGTGTGATTTCTTAAGCTTACATACATGTGACTTAATTTTGTAACTTTGATTTTTGTATAAAACATTAAAATGTGTGTTTGGTTCACAAATAACACCAGGTGAGCCTCTGCATTCACTTGCGTCTGTAGGATTTCCAGGGGGACGCTTCCAGGAGGATGGCAGCACCTGAATTATCACCAGCTCTCATTTCCGGGGAGAGGTTAAGTGACCTGTTCAGAGTCACAGTTAGAAGGTGGTACAGCTGGGGTTCCAAAGCATGAATTTAACCTAAGACGCAGAGTGCAAAGTGATGGAGAAAAGTTATACAGATGAAAGCTTGCGGTGGACAGAAGGGACCATACCATGTAACAGGGCATGAGAGCTTTGGAACAAAGGAAGGAAAAGGGATTTTGGGACATTGCTCAGGCCACTACAGCTAAAGTGCATGGAGAGGACTATCAGACAACTAGGTATCAGGCAGACAGGTGAAGAGGAGCGATAAGGAAGTCTGGTTAGAAGGGGGGTTGGCCGAAACCGGTTTGGCTCAGTGGATAGAGCGTCGGCCTGCGGACTGAAGGGCCCCAGGTTCGATTCCGGTCAAGGGCATGTGCCTGGGTTGCGGGCATATCCCCAGTGGGGGATGTGCGGGAGGCAGCTGATCGATGTTTCTTTGTCATCGATGTTTCGAACTCTCTATCTCTGTCCCTTCCTCTCTGTAGAAAATCAATAAAGTATATTTAAAAAAAAAAAAAGAGAAAGAAAGAAAGGGTGGTGGGAAGATGCCCAAGATGAACTTGATGCCTGGGGCCAATTAGATGCCCATATTCTCCCAGCTTCAAATCTCTTCGCCACCAATGCCACGTGGAGCGTAGTCCAAAATACTACGGTCCCTAGCACAATTTTATATTTGGGAAAATAAATTCATTTAGTTTTTAAATACAAGGCCCAGAAACCGAAGTTTGGAAAAAGGAAGGCTCTGAGATCTTTGTTCATCACAAGTGGGCATGAATAAAATGATGATGGAGCCCTAACCGGTTTGGCTCAGTGGATAGAGTGTCGGCCTGCAGACTCAAAGGTCCCAGGTTCTATTCCAGTCAAGGGCATGTGCCTTGGTTGCAGGCACATCCCCAACAGGGAGTGTGCAGGAGGCAGCTGATCGATGTTTCTCTCTCATTGATGATTCTAACTCTCTATCGCTCTCCCTTCCTCTCTGTAAAAAAATCAATAAAACATATTAAGAAAATAAAAATATTTTTTAAAAAAATGATGGAGATGCTTGTGCAGAGGACCTGGAGCCTGCGCAATGGAGCCACAGCCATCTGACAAGTGCCTTAGGCTAGGGCTCCTCACCGGGACTGCCTATCACCACAGTGCATTTTTCATCTTAGGACTTTTCTCATTTCCATGCCAAGAGTTGTCACCGTGCAGATCAGTGGTCAGGGCAAAGTTAATTTTGTGGGGGAAATATGAGTGTCTGCGGAGAAACAAACATGTAAACGTAATGACAGTACAACGTCCTGGTAGTTACAATGGTGGAAGGTATTCTTCAGACCCCGGGTGTGCAGAGGAGGGAGCTGATGAGATGGTTTTCGAGTATCCGGAAAGCTCTCCACCAGCCATTGTTTTCATAAAGCTACTCTAAGTCTTCCCTTTTGTGAGAACCAAAACGTCTCCAGATACTTAGTTTCTAAGGATACTGAAAGCCAAGCCTCTACATTTACTCCTTTTCTATGCCAGCTTTGTTTAAAAGTAGTGGGGTTTTGTTTGAATTTACAAACAACCTATGTCCCTCAGAAAATTTTAAAAATACTGGAAAATGAGGGGGAAAACCCCACCCACTTTCTGTATTCGTACATCTGTAGTTCTCACCTTGGCTGTACATTAAAATGATCTCAGGAACTATTTTTTATCGTTTTATTTTTTAGGAGCTATTTTTTCAAATCAGATTTTCTTGGTTTGGGTTGGGCATGTTTAAAAACTTGCAAGTGATTCTAAGTGCAGTCAGGGTTGAAACCTACTGTATACATAATTATTAATACTTTGGCCATTTAAAATAAACTTTTATGTGTTTCAGTTTTTTTAAGAATCACCCTCATCCTCTAATTCTCTTTTGTACCATAGAATTTTAATCATCTTTTTAAATGGTTGTATAGTATTGTATCGACATAGTAAAATTTTTTTAAATATATTTTATTGATTTTTTACAGAGAGGAAGGGAGAGAGATAGAGAGTTAGAAACATCGATGAGAGAGAAACATCGACCAGCTGCCTCCTGCACATCTCCCTACTGGGGATTTGCCCGCAACCCAGGCACATGCCCTTGACCGGAATCGAACCTGGGACCTTTCAGTCCGCAGGCCGACGCTCCATCCACTGAGCCAAACCGGTTTCGGCGACATAGTAAATTTTTAGTAACGAACCGATTGATGGATATTGCAATTTTGTATACATCCCCCCCGCCCCCCAAATAAAATTCTCATGCATCTGTGCAGTGTTGTCCTTTTTATTTTTTCAGGTTTTAAATGGTTGTATAGTATTGTATCGACATAGCAAATTTTTAGTAACGAATCGATTGATGGATATTGCAATTTTGTACACATTCCCCCGCCCCCGCAAAAAAAGTTCTCATGCATCTGTGCAGTCTTGTTATTTTTTTCAGGAAAATTTTCCCATAAGTGAACTTTCAGAATCTGAATAACGTACTTCTAAAATGTCCTCCAGAAAAGTGACAATAGTTTCTGCAGCTTTTGTTCATCAAACACGCAGACTTGTGGGTTGCACACTCCTTCCCACGCAGGGACACTGCAGCTTCGGGGAGGGACCCGCTCGCCTTCCCAGGTCAGTACAAAAGGCTCGA